TCTAGGAATTGCCAATTCCAAAACCACTATATATATAGCCTTCATGAAGCTCAATAAATCCTCACAAGCAAAACCAAGATTTGAAACCAGACAGAGAGAGACAAGAAAAAGAAAATCAAGGGGCAGAAATGGAGTTCTCGTGCAAAGATTTCAAGGTTGGAAAATGCGAGGGAGAGAAAATAGTAGATGGAGAAACCATCCCTTTGGTGCTTCAACCTCCACAGCCAAACAAGAGTGACTTGGAATCGTTACTCTCAGCTCTCAGAAACAACAAGGACTGGTTTGAGCAGATGATCATCAAGAACAGTGCCGTTCTTCTTCGAGGTTTTACTGTCAACAATGCCGTTGACTTCAACGACATCGTCGAAACCTGCGGCTGGGATGACATTCGCTACGTGGGACCAGCACCTCGTACTCATATTTACAAGAGAGTTTGGACTGCCAATGAAGGACCCCTCTCAGAGTTCATATACTATCACCATGAAATGGTGCTGGTACGTCATATTACTCTTCAAATTAATCACACAGTAATGACATATATATGGCACTTCATATTATGTACAACAGTGATCATGTCTTGTATATATGGTTTTGCAGATCAAAGAGAGTCCGAAGAAAGTGATACTCTTCTGCGAGATACCGCCGCCAGAAGGAGGAGAGACTCCATTTGTTCCGAGCTTCAAAGTGACGGAGAAGATGCTGGAGGAGTTTCCAGAAGAGGTGAAGGAAATGGAAGAGAAGGGGTTGAAGTACTCATTCACAGCACGTAGTACTCAGAACGACAATTCATCCATGCGAGGCAGAGGATGGGAAGACGCTTTTGGGACCTCAGATCGCGAGGAAGCTGAAAGAAGGTACTCTCTTCTATCTTCAAATTCAATTCTCTCATGTAAGAACTGTTGCTGGGATGAGGAGCAATCACTCATTGACGAGTACACATGTTTTGATCAAACTGTTGCATGCAGGGCAAAAGCTCTGGGGATGGACATGGAGTGGCTTCCGAACGGCGGAGTGAAGACGATTCTAGGGCCGAGGCCATTGACGAGGGTGTTTGAAGGAAGGAAAGGAAGAAGGATGTGGTTCAACACAGTGGTGGGAATGTATGGGAAGGAACTGAGCTCGGCGACAATGGCGGATGGAAGTGAGATTGCAAGCCACGTGGTGAAGAGGTGTGGAGAGATCATTGAAGAAGAAAGCATACAGTTCAAGTGGGAGAAAGGCGATGTTCTGTTCTTGGATAACATGGCTTTGCTTCATGGCAGAAGACCTTCCCTTCCTCCCAGAAGAGTTCTGGTTGCTACTTGCAAGTAATCAGAATTGGTTTGGATCCTTCACCATTATTATATATTAATCCAAACATCTAGTAATCAAAATATATAATTTCTTATTAGGTTCCAAGAATAACAATAATTGAAGAAAAAGATAGACGAGGTTGATCGCTTTTATGAGTCTTGCCCAAAATAATGGACTAACTATCTCTCTTTTTCTTTGAAGATAAAATAGCATATCTGTATCTATAATTGTTGTATTTGTAATTGGTTTTGTTTTCATGTTCCGTTGTTGTTGTTTTGGATTGGTGTGGATGCATTTTCAAATTAATATAATTACCATTGTTTGAATTTTCTTCTACACTAGACGTGCATTGGATTTAAGCAACAGTGTTTTTGTGTTCAAAGTAGGGGTTTAATTTTTCACCCTTGTTACTCGCCAAATAAAAAAAAAAAAAACAGATTTTTCACCTTTGTGTTGATTAAACCGCGTTGTAGATTTCACCCCCAAAAAAATGCAATGCCGATAGATCCAGTAAACAGGTGTGCTTGGGCCATATCAATTCAAACCCAAAAGCTTGATTGTTTTAAAATTGATCAATTTTTTAAAACAAGCCTTTTATTAATCGAATTCAAGGCCCAGCGTGTAATTTTTTTTATTTTTTTTAAATTTTAATTTTATATTATAATTTTACAAATTCATTTTCTAAATTATAAATTATAATTTTTAAAAATTTAAAATAAATAATATTAATCTTAATTTTAAAGTACAAACACATATTCTAAAATCTAAATGTAATTTAAAAATTTAAAATATCTTATTTTTAAGGGGTAAAAAAAAAAACAAGTTTAAATGGATAGCCCCATAAAACCAGCTAATATTCCCAATTCTAATTGTGGAACTGTTTCGGGACTAACATTGAAAACTTTATTACTTTACTTTAGTAAGTTACTCCCTCTTTCTTTATATAATTATAGAATAAAAGTGTAAATTTAGTCATCAACTATTTTTTCAAGAGTATTGAGTAGCTTATATTATAAGGAGATATAAAATAAATTCTCAATTTTAAAAACAAAGCATCTAGTAGTCTCTGTTAATTTTTGGTTAACAAACGTTAATTTTCATGTGAGGCCCATAAATTTTTGACTGAAATAACATATGACACTTCACCTCAGTAAATAAAAGTACAAATTTAGTTATAAATTATTTTTCTAAGAGCAATTAGTAACTCTACTATAAAAAAAAAAATCATCCAGCACCTTCTTATCAAGTTTGACCAAACATTGTTTATTTTCAAACTCATGAAACCCACAACTAAATTAAACTAGAATCAAACTTCTCTCATGCGTAGTAGTATCACATTCGAATTGCTACTTTGCTTGAATTGCCACATAGATTTAAATGAAATCTTGTCTTCTTTTATTTTGTTGGTATCATCATTGTAAATGTCTTTAGGTAAGAACTTTTTGAATATCTTATTCTCAAGCTGAGCCTGAGACTAAGAGCAAAGACAAGAAGATTGAAGAGATTGACTAGTTGTGGGTCTCATAAGCTTTAAAATAAACAACGTTTGGTTAAAATTGAAGGAAAGATACAGGATCATTTTTTATAGTAGAGCCTATCTAATGTTTTTTTAAAAATAATTTGTGGCTAAATTTTTATTTTTTCACATGCTGAGATGAAGTGCAATGTGTCATTTTCAGTCAAATTTTGTAGGCCCCACCTAACTTTCATTGAGTGAAATTAATGAAGGCTACTAGATACTTTATTTTTTAAAGTTAAAAATTTATTTTACACCACCTCATAATATAAGCTATTTAGTATTCTTAAAAAAAATAATTGATAGCCAAATTTATACCTTTACCATATAATTATATATAAGCAAATTTCAATCTACTCACAGAATTTAAGAAAAGTTAATGAATCTTAATAATTATATTTGAAATTAAATATTTAGACTAAAATGCCTTTATGATGAATCTTTAATTTTTTATCTAATAATACTATTACTTAATGAAGAATAATTTGGAAAAAATGTCATAGATACCTCTTGAAAATTATTATTTTGCTTAAAAAATACTACCTCTTTCTCAAATTGTAAGATAAATGAATAAATTATTTTTTAAATTTAAAGTCTAATAATACTATAAATTTTAAACTCATTTATTATAAAAATTATTCTCTCAACTTTAGATCCGTTAGGATAACTTGCCATCCCCATTAAAGAAAAGGCTTTGATTCAGTGAGTTTAGCTTGGAAGAAATAATCCGACGTAAAATATGTGAGTTTTTTTCAAATGCCAAGGTGACTTCTCAGAACTTGCAGCCATAAACCATGCCCTCTCACCATTACATTTAAAGTATGTATGTTTAACATTAATAAAGTTTAAAGTTTATTAAACATTTAATTAGAGTTAATAAATTTTAAAGTCTTTGTTGATTTTGATAAAATATGTCAAAAATGATTTATAAATGAATAAAAAAATATTAAGGAGATAAAAAATATGTGGATTTTTTTTTAATTTTATCACTCTATATACTAAGAAACTTGAAAATATTATCATGTTTCACCCACACATTATTGGATATTTTATTTCCACGTGATTGGATAATTGAATGCACGCATTTCTCGCATATAGTACTTCCTCGTGTCATAAATATAAAATATTTTAGAATAAGGTCAGAGTAAAGTTGGAAAAAAATAGTTAACTTCACAAGATAACTTATTTTGAATCAAATATTATATTCCTTCTAAAAGTTATTTTGTATTGATATTTTAGAAAAACTAAAAAGACTATACTCTCCTTTAGTTGTTTTTTTATAAATATATGCTAGCATTTTAGGAGTTTTTCATATTTCATGATATAAGATATTTCTCGATAAGTATCGTAGGATTTATTATGTTATTTTAAAAAATGCCTTTCACTAATTGTAGACGGATAAGATTATAGTGAAATTAATGGGTAGTTTTGGAATATTCAGTAAATTTTTTTTAAATCAAAATACTCAAATAATTTTAACCAAATTTCTTAATCAATATAATTCAGTTAAATAGATCTTAAAAAGTCATTAATTATTATCAACCCCTTTATCAACTAAAAAGTGGCCGCATTCTTTCCTTTCAAAATTCTCTCTCTCTCTCTCTCTCTCTCTCTCTCTCTCTCTCTCTCTCTCTCTCTCTTTTTTCCTGTCACTTTAAAACAGTCTCTTTCTTCCCTTTCACTCAAGCTAATTCGAGCTCTCATTAATCATTATCATCAACGGCAGTTTTATAACCATCTCAGGAAGCCTTTAATGTATTTATTTAACAAAATTACATATTCGAAAATAGAACTTAAAACTTTAGGACAAGTTAATTCAACTTCTAAACCATCTAAAAAGCAGCCAAAATAATACATGTACTGACTCCATTAAAAAGTGTAAGCTATTTTTTAAAAAGTTGAATGTTAAAAGTATTCCTATTGATAATGATTTTATATTTATTGTAGAGTGTTTAATAGAAATAAATATAAAAAAATAAAATTAATTAAAAAGTATATAATTATTTTATTGAAAGTGAGATTTGATTAAAAATGCCTTACATTTCTTAACGTACGAGTATATAATAGTTTGCTTGTTTGGTCTCTGCAATAAAAGTCTCCCCACGCGGCCCCGCAATTTAACAAAAGTCTTCACTTGTTTGGATATTTCTGTTAGACACGCAGAAATATAGTTTGAACTATATATCAATTTCAAGTTTACACTGTAGAAGCTAATCCTTATGGAATTCCAATTTTCTTTCTTACTTCTTATTCCATTCCTCTTGCTCTTCCTGATCTTGTTGCTTCGGCTCGCAAAGCCAAAAGACAAAGCTAAAAAGACCCAAATCCCAGGGCCATGGAAGCTTCCTATACTGGGAAACCTTCATCAGCTAGCAAGCCATTCACTTCCACATCATGCCCTTCGAGAACTTTCCCTCAAACACGGACCTTTCATGCATCTTCAACTTGGTGAGATTTCTGCAGTGATAATATCATCTCCTGATTTGGCTAAAGAGATCATGAAGACCCATGATCTTGCCTTTGTTCAGAGGCCTCAAACTTTCAGTGCTCAGATTCTTTCTTATGGAGCAACCGATATTGCTTTTGCCCCTTACGGTGATTACTGGAGACAGATGAGAAAAATATGTACTCTTGAGCTCTTAAGTGCCAAGAAAGTTCAATCCTTCTCATGTATACGACAAGATGAGGTACTGATATATATATATATATATATATTCTAGTATAATTAGATCCATATTTTCTATATTTAATAAATTTTGTGAGTTTCAATATATCTTTATCAGGTATCTAAGCTGATAGAGTCAATTCAATCATCAGTAGGTTCGGTTTTCGATCTTACAAGCAAGGTTTACTCTTTAACAAGTTCTATAGTCAGGAGGGTAGCATTTGGAGACGAGCGTGAATATGGAGAAGAGCTTGTGCAATTGCTCCACACAGCGTTAGAACAATTGGCCAGGTTTCAGTTTGCTGATTTGTTTCCTTCAATGAAACTTGTTCATCTCATGATTGGAATGGACGCAAAGCTAGTGAAGATTCACAAGAAATTTGACAAGGTTTTAGAGGATATTCTCCAGGAGAATCAAAAGAAGTATATGAGAGCAGAAGCAGGTCAGAGTGCCTTGGGAGAAGAAAATCTTGTTCAGGTTCTTCTAAGAATTCAGCATAGTGAAAGTCTTGACATCCCCATTACAACCGACAACATTAAAGCTGTTATTTCGGTTAGTACTACTAATTACTTACCGATATATGTTGGTCTATCATAGTACACAAGGTAGTTTCTTGGATCTGCATGTGGTTTGATAATCTAATGATACCTTTGCTTGCATAATTATTGCAGGATATGTTTAGTGGTGGAACTGATACTTCAGCAACAGTATTAGAATGGGCCATGTCAGAAATGATGAGAAATCCAAAAGTGATGAACAAGGCACAAGCTGAGGTTAGAAATGCTTGTAGAGGAAAGAAAGTAATTGGTGATAGTGACATGATACAACTTAGTTACTTAAAATCAGTAATCAAAGAAACTTTGAGGCTGCACCCGCCAGTTCCTTTATTGGTCCCAAGAGAATGCAGAGAAACATGTCAGATTAATGGGTATGAAATACCCATCAAAACTCAAGTCATAATAAATGCATGGGCACTTGGAAGAGATCCAAATTACTGGTATGATGCTGAGAGGTTTATACCAGAGAGGTTCCAAGGAAACTCTGATATTGATTTCAGAGGAACAAACTTTGAGTACATCCCTTTTGGAGCAGGAAGAAGAATGTGTCCAGGAATTTCATTTGGTTTAGCAAGCATTGAGCTTCCTCTAGCTAGCTTATTGTACCACTTTGACTGGGAACTCACAAATGGGATGAAACCAGAAGATTTAGACATGACTGAAACTTTTGCCACTACAGCTAGAAGGAAAAATAATCTGTGTTTGATCCCCACACCATATATTGATCCTCTTCTTGGCATTTCCAAATGAAGTACCTAGCTTTCTATTTGTCTATCTATCTATTTACCTGCACAAATTTCAAGATGCACTAGCTAGATTTTGTTATCAGACTTATATCCAGTGGCTTTTGCAAATATGAATTTTGCAAGGGTTAGAAACTTAAGTCCCAATCTTCGAAAATGTATTAGTCAGAAAGGTGAAAATAATGATGACAATTTCTGCAAAATGCTGAGTCATATATGGCAAATAATTGTTGTATTTCTTAGTTTGAATAGTAATGACACCAGATATCAAAGTGCTTTCAGATGCTCACGATATCTTCAAATGCAATGCAATAGGTTAAGGAATACATGTGTTACAATGATTAAAAGTCTTACAAAGACACAATGGCAGGATCAAGATTTAATTAGAGTCAAAATTAAAAAAAAAAAAAAAACGAATGCAGTACGAAGTTTCATTTAAAAAAAAAAAAAGAGGACCAGAAATTTACGTATACTTCCCCTAGACTTTTTACAGGTTTTTACCCAAAACAAAAATGTACAAGTTACTTACCTATAATAGAGATTAAAAAAAATTAAAACTCGTTAAATCTCTCTAATAATTTAGTAAGTTTCTAAATGTATGCTTATTGAAAATATATACATATATATTAACAAAAAGTTTTCTCGCACCAACATGAAATATGACCTGAGCGAGTATTATCAACAGTCACTTCGCATAATTTGTTATTTACAAACTTTGGGTAATTGAATTACGCGTTATTGGAAGTTACAAATTTGCAAAACCTAAGCATACACGTACATGTCCCACTTCATCAATTTTCCATTAATACAAGGCATAACACAAGAAACCAAATTGTCACAAGTCAATCGCATGCCTAAAAAAGGTGACCTTGCATTTACAATGCAAAATATGTCTGCTCTGATTTGCTTACATTTCTTAACAACACGTATATCCCAAAGAAACTAGTCTAATCTTTTACCTTCTTGATTCGCTAAAATAAAAATGGTGTAAAATTCTTTCCACCGAACCAGATGCTTCAGGGCATGGTTAACAAAAGTGGGCAAATGAAGAGCTAAGACAATGTCCTACTTATTGAGCGGAAAAAACAGAAACCAGATATAACAGATATTGCAGCATAGCCTCAAGATAATTTGCTACTTTAGCAAGTGACTTTTGCCCGCGAAACTTGAGGTCTCAAACACAAACAGACACCTAAGGACGACCTGACATGCCACGTCCTCTTCCTCTTGGTGTATAACCATATCCTTTCCCATAATAACCGCCCCGAAAACGACCACCACGTAAGAGACCACGGCCTCCTCGACCACCTCGATGCCTCACAAAATCACCAAATGTCTGCAACATGTACAAGAAAAATATATCAAACAGTGTCTCCAGAAGAAAAAACAAATGGGGAAAATTTCAATTAAGGACCATGGATGGGACTTAATTACTAGTGGGTCTCAAAAAAATTTGAAACTTCAACATAGGAGAAATAAAGTGGAAATAATTTTAATAGTGAAAAGACCAATCTACCCTTCACTTGTTATGCAAAATCCTTAGTTCTTAATTTTCTTATCTCACTTGTTAATTTAATAATAGAAGTTGTAAATTACATGAATTTATGTCAATAATTATACAAAACTTCACATCAATTGTTCAATCACAATCAACAATACTAGTAATTAAATTATTAACTTTACTTGTTAATTTACTAAAATTAGTTGTAAATTACTAATAGATATTGTAATTTATAATTGACGTTAGTAAATTAACAAGTAAAGTTAGTAATTTAATAACTAATGTCATGACTTGTTTGACAAACGGATGTAATTTACAATTCATACCGATAAATTAACAAATTAAGTAAAAAATTAACAACTAATGATTCTACATAACAAGTGAAATGTAATTTAATCTTTTCACCGTTGAAATTATTTCCACTTTAATTTCACTAGACTAAACTGAAATTTCAGATTTTTTTGGAGCCCACCAGTAATTAAGTCTCATTCATGGTCCTTAATTGAAACTCTCCCCAAAAAAAAATGCCAAACCAAGATAAACTTTTTACCTCAGTATCAATCTTAATTTGTTCCGAATATCTAGTCCTTCCATTATGTTGATCATGGTCAAGCGAGTTGCAAGAGAGTGTGTCGAAGAAATCATCCTTATTGTAGACAGCCTGCGTAAATCATGAAAAGCAGAATGAAACACTGACCATTAATTAATATTTAAGATTTAATACACAAACAGAACCACCAAACTTCAAGTTGCATGCAAGATATTGAATACGATATGCTACCTTAACCTCAACTTTTGATTCTTCACCATTGTAACCATCTTGACCATCATCCTCATCGCTAACATTTTCTTCCCCGTCCTTTTCTTTTGAATGTGACTTGTTGGTTTTACCAAGATGACCCCATACTTCATCCTTATTGAACTTCTCATTCATTGCCGTGAAATCAAAGTCTTCAGTAAATTTTGTGACTGGGCGTGGACCCTGCAATATCATTAGTTTCAACTTCTATAATCTCATCTATCATAGTACAGGCTCACAAATATCAACAATTTCAACCAACAAATAAAGTTCAAATTAGTGAAATAACCCCAGTGCAGGTTTTTTATAAACTCTCTTTATGTCATCTGGATTACTCAACAAGCATTATAGAGAGAGAAACACAGAAGTAGCTCAACCATTAAAGATCTCATATAGTCACATCAAGAAATACTGTAAGCATCAGTTCATAATTTTGATTCACTAATAATGGAAAAAGTCACATCTTAAACAAAGGTACAGTGATGAAGGAGTCAAACCTCAAATGAAAAAATAAGAAACCCCCACTCTTAGAAGTTTCAAGTATTCCAATAAGCTTTAATTTCGATACTTGTATGGTCAGTTATCCCCAATTTATAAAGAATTAAAAAGTAGATCAAGCAGCATACCCCAGTTCCTCTTCCTCTTCCACGACCCCTGTAACCATAACTATGATGCTGATAACTTTGAGCACACCCACTAGGCTGAAGAAAGTGCAACCAAAATGTCAGTCCTTGAAATTAAAACAGGGTGAGATGGGAAGAGAATTCAATGTGATAAAAATGCTCATCCAGTCATATTGTATTTCTATATATGGATGAAACAGGTCAGAATGTTTAAAAATATATGCATTGAAAATGGCACATATCAGTCACTATGCTTGCAAAAAAACCAGAAATCAATCCAGACAAATCCTACTTAAAATTCAAACCAAGGAACAGAAGGATAAAATACAGTGAAGAAGAAAAGAGAGATTATCGAAACTAAAAAGAAAAAAAAACATAAATTACCGATTTGAACAGACACTAGTTCACAGAATATACAGTACCCTGCCAATATTAGCTCTAAGTGACAGTTTAATCAAGTAGCCAAAGATGACAAGAAGATAATGGAGCTCAGTAACAATTCTCCAGTCTACCATTGCATACAAACATACAAGAACATGCAAGACCAAATTCTATCTGCATATAGTTGTGTATGCACAAGACATAAGGAGCAAAAGAAGAATACCCTATGAGTTGGTCGCAAGGTCACTGGCAATGGCAGTATGGGGGGTTGATTTTCAGCAGAAACTGGCGCAGTAAGATCTGGAGATGACGTTGATGAAACCTCAACCACTTCAACATCCTTATGGGAGGTCTGCACAGAAGTAGATGGAGAAACTATGCTTGGTCCAGACTGCAATAATTGACCCGGTGTTACCAGAGAAGGGGTGGTTGTTTCTGCACGGACAGAATTTGTCCCAACATTGGCAGGTGTCAATTGGGATACAGTTTGATACGGCAAGCTTGAACTTGAAGCTGCATTAGGTTTGTTGGAGATTGGTGGCACTATAGCATTTACATCTAGACTGGAAGCGACCAAAGGAGTCAATGATGGTAAGTTAGCTGCAAGCGTGGCTGTTACAAGCGAAATAGTAGGTGCCTTGTTTGGCATTGATATGGGCAAGGTTTCAGAAGCTAATGCAGTAGAAGGTACTGGTGGTAAAGTTGATGCCAGATTTGGTTGTGGTAAAGAAGCAGATGTTACAATAGGGGAACTAGAACTTGCAGAGACTAAAGACAGTGGGAGTTCTGGCAAAGTTGAAGATCCAGTTGGCAGAGCGGCGTTAAATTGGTATACTGAATTGGCTGCTGCATTGAAGAAGGCATCGATAAGCCAGGAGGTGGTCGAAGCAAAGACTGCTGGGGTATATGAGGAAGGCCATTTGGGGCACCATAATATCCTGGCCAATACATTGGCATAGCAAGACCACCACCATTTGCATTTGGGGCAGCCGGTGAAGCTCCCCATGATCCCTGGTTCCCTCCAGGTTGATACAAAGGCAAGGGCACAGGAAAATTTGTCCCAGGCATTCCAAGCTGACTTGTATGGGAATTAAGATCATTCAAAGGGCCACTTCCTGAAGAAGGTAAGCTGGTAGATGTGGTGACTGGGCGAGGATAGTGAGACTGCAAGAGCCATTTCATAACATTAGGGGGCATCTTTGTTACTTTGGCCTTGTGTATGTCAAAAACCTCTCATTTACCTGAATAATAGCTGGGTCATTGTTGATTGGTGGAGTAGGATGTACAGGTGGAGAAGATTTAACCTGTAAATCCTGTGGGAAAAGAATAACAGATATATCAGCTGATGAGCCTCGTGATAATATACTGAAGAAATAATCAAAGGCTCAGAATCTGCAGAATTAACTTCTAGACGAAGCCTGTGTCACAAAATGATTATAAAAAGACAGAGAGCATCTGGATTTGCATTAAAATGACCTAGTATTGAAATGACATGAATGGCATGCCTCTCAAGGAAAATTACCATAAAAACATCAAACACCATTAGCAGAATCTCCTATAGAAACTAAAAGCATAATGAGTTTGAAGAAAAAAATTATTTGGTTGTGTTCCTCATGGGATACCTTAATGTCACTCCCACGAAATAGTATATACTCATACACCTTGTCTCCTGGAGGAATTTGTGGACCATCCTTTTTCCTCCCCTCCGTTCCGAATGATCGCACTGCCACACAAACACAAAAGAGTCAATGGACAACAATAACTGTATACACCATTAAGCATATGAATAAGCCTCAAGTGACGTGAGGGTCTTGAAATAAGCCAACAGTGTTTGGAGCAGGAATCATCCAAATTGTTAAAAGAAATCCCCCCACATAAGTTACACACCAATTGTGGTCCACAGAACCAGAAGGCCTCACTAAATATACAATCAAACAGAAAAACATGCCAACCTACATGATTAGCCATTAACATTTT